CTCTCTTCCGGCCAGCCTTGAAGTAGCCTGCACCATTCTCTCCCAGTTCCCAGAGCTCTGAAGTTGTTACACTGAACCTTTCAGTTCTCCTTCTAGATGCTGGATTCTTTTTCATCTACACCTTTGTGGGTTGCTTCTTTCTGACATCTCATCTCTTCCTCCTTCCTCCATGGAAAGACAAGCCATCCCTTAAGAGTCATCTCCGAGGTCACACACCTCATTGAAACCTTCCTGACTGTCCTGAGCAGCACAAACTTGCCCACATTCTGGACTCCTGCTGCCCATTTGTTGACAACCTAATTACAACTATTTTTGTCTCTCGATTTGGCTTCAGCCGAGGGAGAGACTTTCTATCAGATAATCAGGGCTATTTTAAAACAGAGCAAGCTGCCGGCTGAGACGCACTCCTCATGAGGCGTGGGAATTGTCAAGGCGACTCCACGTTGCCTTCCCTGAGGCCCCATCCCTTCTACTCACTACCCGTCTAGGGGTGAAGATACCTCTTGTGAGTGCAGAGCATACAGCTGGGCAGAGTGCCCACTACCTAGTAGGCATGCCACTTTTTTTTTAAACTATCAAATGAATAAAAATAGATTTCTGCCTTATAAGGGAACACGGATTACTGGATCTCAAAGTTCCTGTCTAAATAGAAATCCTGCATTCTATCTCTGCAAAATACCTACAAAATACTGTAGAACTGCCATAGTTCAGATGGAAGCAAAGACCACCTTGTCCCTAGCCCAGGGATTCTTAAGTCACTGGATGGTGTAGTATGAGAGCCCCGCTTGATTTCTACCATACTAACACGCTCTGGTGTCAGGAGCCCACTGCTGAGGCTGCCATTCCCCACTAGCAGAACACCCTTTGGAATTCAGCTGACCCTTTCATCTCCCTGGCTATGCTAAAGGCACCCATTACATAGGGAGAAGCTTATGTGCTAAGCCATGAAGACTCCTTGGGCTCCTGTCTGGCCTTTTCCTCTAATTAGATGTCTGACCTCAGGAAAGATGCTTATGTCACCAAATGCCCCCAACTGTACAGCAGAGGACTGAATGACCAGGGGTGGTTTGAGAACCTTATCAAGATTAAGGCTTATACCTAGCGTGGAGAAAGCAGCCAGGACATGACATCACTTCTTATTTTTTCCCCTCTTGACTTTTTCTATCTTAGTTTCCATCTGCAGGCCCCAGTAGCAGCTTCTATCACTTTCTTTCTAAATTGGAGGATCCACCGTTCCAGATCCTTCTGTCTTGGCTTTCAACAGAACCCCTAGGCTCTCCCTGTTATTTCTCCTGTTTGGAAAATGTGCACCCCATCTACTCTGTCTACCCTTTCTCAGTCTGTTTCTTATGCTCCCCAGCTGGCCAGCAGTTCAGCCTCCTCAAAGTTAAATTTGTGTTCAGGAACATTGTGTTTCAAACATTAATTTCTTTTAAAAAATGAAATATAGCAATGGTTAGGATATCAAAATAATTATACACGCACACACACGAGAGAAAGAGAGAGAGAGAGAGAGAGAGAGGCATACCTAGTTACTCATTCATTTCCACGTGGATAGCTGTTTAATTCATTAGGATATGTTTCACAATTACCTAATAAACTTTAATGTGTCTTTGCTGCAGAGCATTCTGCAATTTAACTCGAAATGTCAGTGGCCCCCATGACACTTCAACCCAGCCAGACTCAGCAGTGGTAACCAGTTCCTCCAAGAAAGGGCATTAGGAGACACGACTCAGCAGATCAGATCCTTGGCTACTCTTCCAGAGGTCTTGGGTTCTTAGCACCAGTTACAATTTTCTGTAACTCCAGTTCTCAAGCTTCTAATGTTTTCTTCTGACCTGGCACCTGGGCTGCATGTGGTGCACAAATACATAATGCACTCAAAACACCCATACACACAATGAAAGAGAGAGAGAAAGAGAGAGAGAGAGAGGAAGAGAGGAAGGAGAGAAGGAAGGGAGGGAGGGAGAGAGGAAGGAAGGAAGAAAAGGGAAGGAAGGAGGGAAGGAAGGAAGGAAGGAAGGAAGGAAGGAAGGAAGGAAGGAAGGTCATTAGGAACAGCCCTTTCCTGCTTCCTTGCTCCTCCCTATTTGGGGTTCCAGCATAGGCATGTCTGTAGAGGAATCAGGCCCCTCTACACTCCATGACTCCATGAGACTGACCACCGAAGCAAACAAACCTATAGTCCTTCAGAGTTCTCTGCTCTTCAGGGCTGGGCCAGCCTCCATCCAGAACCAAACCAAAAGCCAGGGGATTCAAGGTGCCCTGCGTATGTGCAAATCCAGTAGGCCACTAGCCCACTGTAACTTTAGAATGTTAGGAGAGTGTAACTTGAGAAGACTTGAGGATGGGAATCTTGAGGAGGAAGCTTTCAGCTTCAGGAGCTTTTAGATGTGCCAGACTTCAGAGCATTCAGATCCTAGCCTGGGAGGCAGGGTCAGAGTGAGGAGGGGCTGTTAATGTGGGCAAGATTCTCCTGAGTCTCAGGGAACTGTGGTTGAGGCAGAAACCACCATGTACCTGGGCAAAGCTGGAGCTTGTGAAGTGAAGCAGGACCTAACCAAAGACCCTCAGCACTGGCTTTGCCCACCCAGAGCCACCAGAGCTTGAGGGCTGGAGAAGAAAGAGTCTTCTCGGTGAAGCCAGACGGGTTCCCAGATAGCTGCGATCTGATCATTCTTGAACACTTAGGCTTCATTCTTGAACAGATATTCAGAGGTGGCAGACGTCTAGGAAAATGGTCTCCCTGGTCTCAGAGGAGGGCATTCACACTGTGGAGTAGGTATAGGCCCACTGCACCCACACAGAGAATGGGAGCAGCAAGCAGAGAAACTTAACAAGTTTCAAACCTGGGAGTAACAATATTCTAGACAGAGCATTAGAGCTGGGATAGAACATAATACAATACCTTGAGAAAAGCAGTAGGCACAGCTGATAGCAAAATATTGTTTCACTGCTTGAAGGCTAAGAAGTACCTCCTCCAGTGTGTCCACAGAGAAGGAGGCTTGGCGAGAGACCTGGAAGGGGGAAATTAGCAGACGCTATCCTAAGGTCCCCTTCCCAGTCTGTATGTGATGGGTACATGCTAATAACTGTTCCTCTACCATGGAATTTCTACCAGAACTTCAGGATGAGAGTTTCTGTGCCTGCCTCTCATCATCAACACTGCCATCACTAACATCCAGATCCCAGCTTTCTAGGTGTCTCCAGTGTGGTGGGCTCTAGCCTCTAGGTCTACATTTTCCTTGGAAATGCTCATGGGGTCTCTGCTGCAAGGGCATCCTGAGAACTGAGCTCTGCTGATCATCAGACTCCTGTTAGCCTATCTGCTGGTCTATCTGCCCCCAACACAGGCAGTGAAGCACAGGCTACACTGGGTCTCCATGAGAGAATGATGCCTCCCATTCCCTAGCACTGCAGCACTCATGGGAAATGCAACGGTGTCTAGCTAGAAGGGGACATCTGATGTCATAATTGATATCCGAACCTACCTCTTAACTCTGCCAATTCTACAGTCTGCAAAATTACTGTAGTTGAGTTCAACCTAATTTAGTTTCCTCCTTCCCTCAGAGAATTATTATTTTTTTTTGTCAAATAATAGCAGCCACCTTTGAAAGTGTTCAGTGCCTTGTGGGGACATAGTAGATGTCTTGTTTTCTGCCCCTTCTGGTTTAGGACCTAGACTTGAGTATAAACTGATGTTTTTAACCACACTTGCTGCTATTTGCTGCATCTGTTTCAAAAGCTCATACCATACAAAGGACGTATGTTCCCTCTGTGTGTTAGAGGCCTTGGGGAAGAGAGCACACACAGGTCTTAAGCTAAGGTAGAGCAACCCAGGGCAGAGCAGGCACACAGCACGACTTAGGGAAGTCACGGAAACTTCTGTATTGGAGTGGTAAACCTCTGTACCTCCAGCAAGAGAAGGGACCAGAGTACTTATGCTGCACCTCCAACAGGGTGAACTGTGTCCCAGAGGAAATCAAGAAACTCTTTGGCATTTTAGTGTGGGATCAAGGAATTGGCTGGGCATGACTAATGTCCATACTCTCACAAAGATGAAGGGCCAGAGACTATCACCACAGTGATCCCTTGCAAGGACTCATCAGCCATCAAGAAGGTCCTTTTCATTTAGACCGTTTGCTTCTTGTGGTTGCATTAGTTAGCAATGATGCAAGATTGACCACAATACCCTGGAAAGAAGTGAGCAATGGAAGGGCTATGGCACTCTCAGAGGCCTCCCTCTGGCTACAAATCTCATGATGGGCACTCCACTGATGTGGCAGCTGTCCTGGGAATCCCAATGTTCCTGTATCTCCAAAAATCCCAGGCTCTGGTAGTCTTCAAACCCTTCACAAGGTCACAGGGAGGGGCTGGAGTTTGATCCAGGTCTTCCTCCCAAGACTACCACTTTACAACTGCTCATGAGCTGGAGGAAGGCCACAGGATCAGTGGGGAAGGCCCTGGGCCAAGAGAGTCTGTAATGAGTACGTTTATCTTTCGTATATGGATTATTCATGAGCCATTTCACTTTGCTCCTGGGTAGACATATAATTTTTTTTTTGGTCACAGTTTGAACCCTAGCACCACACATACACACACACACAAAATCTGTTAGGAATAGTCAGAAGAATTTTTCCTCTCTGTCTAAAAGGATGAAAACTACTTACCAAAAGCAAAAACAAAACCAAAGCCAAAAGGAAAAAAAAAATTCCAACCCTTACACAACCCCAAAACAACAAATGTGCTGAAAAGTAAAATTGCCATGTTCGTTATTATTGGCGCAAACCACAATTCTAATTGGCAAGCCCCGTAGCTGGGAAGAGCAAGCGAGGACCTGACTGTGAGCTTACTGCCCGGAAGAGAACACTGTGCTTCAAGCTACAAGATACCATTTTCAATGGAGGCCACAGTGGTTCTTCTAATTCATTAATCCAGTGTGGAATATACCAGAAGAGGGATAGAACTCTGTTCATACACAACTCTGACATCATCCGATTTTAAGAAGTTTACTAAAACCACAGTCATGGCCTTGACAATACTGAATGCAAAATACTGGTGTACACAGGTTTTACAGAAGGGGTCCCGAGAGCCCAATCACAAAACAAGGTTAACAGATGGGAGAGGCCTGAGGGAGGGCAAGCACACGGATTTTATTGAGAAAAAAGCTTATATACTGTAAGGGTTGCTGAAGTTTAATAAATAAAGGTCAACTTATAATATATAAAAACAATATAAACATTTATATGCTACATGCATATCATATAATTTAAAGTAATAATTTATATGTGGGGACAGATGCCAATTCATGTTCTTCCGATTTTTCTCGACAAGGCACACACACAGGAAGTGTCTATTCGTATCCAGCGCCAGCCTATGAGTTTGTTGTTTTCTGAAGTCAGTGCTCGGACATAGGTTTGGGACGTTTTGCACTGAGAGTTCCAGTGTTTGTCATCAATTCCCCTGCAACCATTTTTGACTGGCCTGGCTTCTTTACATCTCGTTTCGTAAAAGTATTGTTTGACAGGAGAGTTGCCGGTTTTGATCTCCCCCAGCACCGTGACCTGGTGTCCCCGAATGTCAATGGCTGAGGACTTGTCGGTCACCCACAGACTCTCGCTGTCACACACTGAGTATTCCCCCCGGTGACTCTTATGCTCTGCATAGCGTTTCCGCCGTGATGATGTTCTATTGGCCACCACTGGGTTGCCCACATAATCCTCCATTAGATATAAGGGAGGGGGCTCCAAAGGGGTGCTGTCACTCAGCAGGACCCGGGGCGAATTGTAACGTCTCTGTTGCCGCAGTAGTTCTGTGTCTGTTGCAATCATCGGCTGGAATTCCGACCTGGTGGGCTCTCCCTGCTCTGCTTCTCTGGGTGCTTCTGCTTTGGGCAGGGTGCTCTGGTAATTTTCCTTAACATCCACCACCTGCTTGGAGAGCTTGTTTTTCAAAATGTCTGCCTGAATCAGCTTGATGATGAGGGAATTGAGCGAGTCTTCTGGCAAACTCCTTTGATCCATGTTGTTGCCTTGGATGCCACGGAGATAAGCGAGAAATATCACATAAAACAAGATGGACATCACCTTGTTCACCTGTAAGATCTGAAAAAGGAAACACAAGGTGTTAACAGCTGCCCAGGAGAGTCCGGGTCATTCTGGCTTCAGCCACCCGAGGCTGGCAAGCTCTGAGCATAATGAGTGGGTACCACCATTCTGAGGAAGCAGTGGAACTCCCTGTATGCTACATTGAAGGCTGCTTCCTCCCCACCAGCCCCTGGGAATGCACCACATGTCTTCCGATTGCTTGCCTCCTAGACTGACAGTGCCAGCTGTTTTTACAGTGGATGTCTGCCTTGTTCCCCAGCCGCCTGCTGTGCGGGGATGACATCCTGACACATCCCTTGAGCTTGGGAAGGTACACGGTCCATTGTACTGAGGCAACTATGAGGACGGCATCAATGCATTGCTTGATCGGCTCAGACCCTTGTAACTTTCTTAAGAGACATAATGGGATCCGTCTCACATTCCAGCCTGTGGGCTCTTCCAGTGGGACACAGTGATGCTGGGAATTGGATCTGTTGATTTTATAGCATGGCATCAGAGAGAGAGGCCCCTTCCTGGCCCCTCCTGCCCTTGTAAGCAAACACAAGGCCACTGGCCACCTGCTGAAAGGGTCTAAGTGTCCTCTCAGAAAGACATGTGTCACCAGGACACTGCGAGGAGGATCTACCAACCCTAAACCCCACAATTCTCTGAAACTCTCCTTGCAGAAGACAGAGACACAGCAAAACCCAACTCCAGTGATGGCTCCACCTGCTCTGAGCAGCAAGGGTTGATACTGGTTTCTTTTTCCTCCTAGGGATTTTTCGTTTCCATTATACTGTTTCTCTTTGTAGTCCCATATATGATGCCACCATCTCCCTTTATAGATGGCACTTTCACCCACCACTGCACTCTTCCGTTGCCATAACAGAAGCTCAGCACAGGGCTCCTGGTGAGGAAGGAGTCCTTGTGGAATTGCAGAGTGATCTGGAGATCTTCCTCACTCATCCCTCTTGCACTAGGGCCAAGCCCATGTTTCCAGAAGGCTAACCCAGGAGGGAGGGTCTCTGGTGGAAAGAGCTGCACCTAAGACCCTGACCTTGCAAATTCCCTCACCTCGCCTCTTTAATCACCTCTGCTGCCACCTCAATAGCCCCGTGGGTATTTTCTCCTCAGAGTTCTGTCTTAAGGTGGAAAATAAAATCCTTTCCCTTGGTTCAGTGTTGGTATTTTCAGAAAGATCTTACAGAATCCAGGGGGAAAACAAAGGAAACAAACAAACGTGACATGAGCTCTAGAAAAGAAGTCCTGATTCTGAATCTTCACTGAGGTGCCTGTCCCCAAAATTCACGACACAGCCCCGTCCCCCATCTCCTCTGAAGTGCCTCTTGCTCTCTCATCCCCAAAGGCTGACAGTGTTCCAGACATTAACCTCTTCCTGCTGGCTCCTGGCCTGCCTCTGCGATAAGGGAACCATGTTCCTTCCTTGGGAACCACTCTGAGGATAATTGACTCCTTCAAGGTCAAAGCTAAGGGAAAGATTTTAACATGGCTGCCTACCCTAGAGACTGCTCCAGGAACTGTGTTATCCCAGGAAAATGGTTCCCACAGGGTAATTAATCTCTCCCCTCCCCCCATTCTGCAGAGAAGTGACGTGTCCATCAGTCTTGCAAACCTAACAAAATGAAACTTCAAGAACACAAAATAAATGGCATACACATAGCTTGAGCTTCTGCCCCAAGCTCAACACAGCTGCAATAAAATCATTTGAACCTAGAAGTCTATCACCCTGTAAGTATGAACCCACAAGGATACTTGTTCTCAGGGCAACAAACTGGGGGTGATATATGTGTGTATGGGGTCCCAGATAAAGTGAGAGGCCATACAGAGTTTGGCAAGGCAGTTATGAGGATGGTTTGACAAGATAGATATTAGATGGTACAAAGGACTTGGTATAAGGAAAACACCTTTGTGGTGGTAGCCAAAAGTTACCACTAGAAAGGTCCTTTCAAGGGCTAGAGAGCTGGCTCAAGAGTAGGAATCCTTGCTGCTCTTCTAGAGGACCCATGTTCAGTGCCAATACCCATGTTGGGTGGTTTACAACTATATGTCTAGGGGATCTAACAGCCTCTGCTGACCTCCACAGGCAGACACACACACACACACACACACACACACACACACACACAC